GTAATGTAATAGATTGCTATAGCAAATAAAACTTTGCTTAATCGACAATCCCATCTCAAAATGTGATAGCAAAAGAGATCAGGACTTCCTTGGAATGCACAGCTGCCCTGTGACTCAAGGGCACTGATAATAATGTGGCTTAATAGTTAATGTGTCGATATTATACGCTAAACCACCACAGACTGGGTTAGAGTCCGGAGGAGGGTGGTGAATAGACCTAATCGAGGCCGAAACTGCCTGTATTGGAATACCTCTTAGGAAGCAAGATCATGTGGAATTCAACGGAAACGTCAGCTCTACTCCTATCATAGTCAGAAAATTCAACTTCTAGTATTTCATTATCTCAAACGAATTAGAGGGAATACATCTTATATGTGAGCTACTGGTAGTCTCGAAAGCCTACTTATAAACGAAAAATATTTAATGTTTTTATCAAATTTAATCCGATTATGAGCATTAGTTGATCACAAGACAAATCCAAACTGCGTCACGTTTTGCTGCCATTTTCTTCAAAATATCGCCCAGAATGAGGCATATGGATATCATTCTTTCATGATCAATTTCCATTATCGTCTAAATGAATATATAAGGGTACAATTATATGCCCTTGCTTTTCTGGAGAAGATCTGAAAAATAAATCCTGATGGATACATAGTGCTGTACAACTTCATGTGATAAATGATGCTTATTTCAAAACACGACTTCTTAGGGGTTACGATAAAATGAAAAATAGTAGTAATATAACTCAATAACCCTCTTATATGGTAAGTGATGCAAGATTAAATAAACACATATGTCTAATCAACTCAACTACCAACCTTAATTAACTGATCGACTGTAGCCTGGCCGTTTGAAAAGCATGCTATCGTATAAATCGCAGTGCGAATATCCGGCTTCAGAAGATGAAGATCTGAAGATGTAGTCAATGCGGTCAGATGATCTTGAAACAAGCGACAAGCAGCATCACGCACTTCCGAATCAACGCCAACTGCACCGCATTCAACGAGCAAAAGAGAGCGTAGGAGGCGAAGTGAGTGCACATTTCCGGCACTGGAAGACGTGAGTTCAAAGTCGGGTGGCGGAGCTGAGGTTAATTAGATATAAACGAAATAATTTATATGTAATAGAATCGAGTGCCGTAAATTAACCATAATGACTATAGT